AGATAGATAGATAGATAGATAGATAGATAGATAGATAGATAGATAGGGTGATATTATAAAAGAATAAAATCTGACTAAAATCAAATAAATTTTCTTACTATTCATTCACAGCATTGGACCGGTCAGGAATTGGCTTTACAAGACGATGAATCTCAGGGAAACTGATCGACTTATTAATTCAGTAAGTTTTTGCAGTAACAAGAATTTGAACACTTCTACTGAGATGATAAAATTCAGAAGTTTGGGACATACATAAACTGAACGTAAACATTTAGCCATATTGCCTGTTTTTATGATGATGGCTGACATAAGGTAACCACTTATGTGTGTTCATCACTTGGGGAGTATGTCACCATGTAATAGATTCCCTATCCAAATCAGCATCACAGATCAACCAGCATTTACAGTACTTGCAGGTCACCAAGCATAATCTCAGATGAAATTCTTTTTCATGATGACATACATACATACCTATATACACACACACACAAGAGAATGTGCCTGTCAGTCTCTGGACAGCAGAAATGGCCCAAGAGGCAAAAGTAAATCCCATTGAGTTAAGTGGGGCTTACACGTAGATAAATGGGTTGCAGTTTGCAGCTTGGCCTCCATTTAGGCTGGATAGAGGACAGTATTCAACTAAAAGCTAAATCAGATGAGTTGTTGTTGATAGTTGCGAAGTCATGTCCAACCCATGGCAACCCCACAAACAACATTCCTCCGGACCTTCCTCTCCTCCACCATCCCCCGGAGTCCACTTAAGCTCACGCCGACTGCTTGAGTGACTCCATCTAGCAACCTCATTCTCTGCCCTCCCCTTCTTCTTTTGCCTTCAATTGTTCCCAGTATTAGGCTCTTCTCCAGCGAGTCTTTCCTTCTAATTAGGTGGCCAAAGTATTTGAGTTTCATCTACAGTATCTGGCCTTCTAAAGAGCAGTCAGAGTTGATCTCGTCTAGGACTGATTGGTTTGATCTCCTTGCAGTCCAAGGGACTCGCAGGAGTCTTCTCCAGCACCACAATTCAAAGGCCTCAATTCTTCGATGCTCAGCTTTCCTTATGGTCCAGCTTTCACAGCCATACATTGCAACTGGGAAAACCATAGCCTTGACTATACGCACTTTTGTTGGCAGGGTGATGTCTCTGCTTTTTAGTATGCTGTCTAGATTTGCCATAGCTTTCCTCACCAGGAGCAAACGTCTTTTAATTTCTTGGCTGCAGTCTCCATCTGTGGTGATCTTGGAGCCCAGGAAAATAAAATCTGTCACCTCCATTTCTTCCCCATCTATTTGCCAGGAAGTGAGAGGACCGGATGCCATGATCTTAGTTTTCTTAATGTTGAGTTTCAAGCCAACTTTTGCGCTCTTCTCCTTCACCCGCATCAAGAGGTTCTTTAGTTCCTCTTCACTTTCTGCCATTAGAGTATCATCCACATATATAGGTTGATATTTCTCCCAGCAATCTTAATTCATATAGGTTAACCCAGCATATAGGTTTCTCAAGAGATGAATAAGATGGTCTGGTACTCCCATCTCTTTAAGAACTTGCCACAGTTTGTTGTGATCCACACAATCAAAGGCTTTAGCATAGACCAAGGGTCTCAAACTCAACTTACCTGGGGGCCGCTGGAAGTAGAGTCTGGGTGAGGCTGGGCCGCATCAAGTATTCCACCACTGCAGTGGTGGTGGGCCACTCATCCTGCGGCCGGCCCAGGCACCGCTTGCACTTTGAAGGCTGCCGGGCCCTTCCCCCGTGCCCCACCCGTCCCGGCAATTGGCCTGCGGGCCGCGAGTTTGAGACCCCTGGCATAGACAGTGAAGCAGAAGTAGATGTTTTTCTGGAACTCCCTAGCTTTCTCCATGATCCAGCGTATGTAGGCAATTTGATTTCTAGTTCCTCTGCCTGTTCGAAATCCTACCTGTACTTCTGGTAGTTCTCGGTCCACATACAGCTGGAGCCTAGCTTGTAGGATTTTGAGCATAACTTTATTAGCATGTGAAATGAGTGTAATGGTGCGGTAGTTTGAACATTCTTTGGCATTGCCCTTCTTTGGGATTGGAATGTAAACTGACCTTTTCCAATCCTGCATTTTTACTGCATTGTCTTTTAGGATTTTGAATAGCTCAGCTGGAATACTGTCACTTCCACTAGCTTTGTCATTGCTCAGTCTTTCTAAAGCCCATTTGACTTCACATTGCAGGATGTCTGGCTCGAGGTCAGTAACCACCCCTTTCTGGTTATCTGGGACGGTGAGCTCTTTCTCGCCTCTGTTAGGTCCCTCCATTTTGGTCCTTTATCATGCCCATCTTTGCATGAAACATTCCCTTCATATCTCCAATTTTCTTGAAGAGATCTCTGGTCCTCCCTCTTCTATTGTTTTCTTCTATTTCTTTGCACTGTTCATTTAAGAAGGCATTCTTACCTCTTCTAGCTATTCTCTGGAATTCTGCATTCAATTGGGTGTATCTTTCGTTTTCTCCCTTGCCTTTTGCTTCCCTTCTTTCCTCAGCTATTTGTAAAGCTTCCTCAGACAGCCATTTTGCTTTCTTGCATTTCTTTTTCTTCGGTATGGTTTTAGTTGCTACCTCTTGTACAATGTTGCAAAGCTCCACCCATAGTTCTTCAGGCACTCTGTCTATCAGATCTAATTCCTTAAATCTATTTGTCACCTCTACTGTATATTCATCAGGAATATGATTTAGGTCATACCTGAGTGGCCTAGTGCTCTTCCCTACTTTCTTCAATTTAAGCCTGAATTTTGCAACAAGAAGCTGATGATCTGAGCCACAGACAGCTCCTGGTCTTGGAAAAGAGTGTTTGCTATGGCAATCATATTCTCGTGACAAAATTCTACCAGGTTGTGCCCTGCTTCATTTTGTACTCCATGGCCAAACTTGCCTGTTATTCCTGTTATCTTTTGGCTTCCTACTTTAGCATTCCAATCCCCCCTGATGATAAGGACATCATTATTTGGTGTTACTTTTAGAAGGTGTTGTAGGCCTTCATAGAACCAGTCCACTTCAGCCTCTTCAACACCAGTAGTTGGGGCATAGACTTGGGCTACTGTGATGTTGAATGGTTTGCCTTGGATCCGAACTGAGATTGTTCTGTCATTTTGGAGATTGTATCCCAGTACTGCTTTTCCTACTCTTCTATTGACTATGAAGGCTACTCCATTTCTTTTGAGGGATTCTTGTCCGCAGGAGTATACCTGATGGTCACCTGAATTAAATTCACCCATTCCTATCCATTTTAGTGCACTGATTGCTAAGATGTTGATGTTCAGTCTTGTCATCTCTTGTTTGACCACATCCAGCTTGCCTTGATTCATGGATCTTACATTCCAGGTTCCTATGGAATGTAGATCTTTACAGCTTCAGACTTTCCTTTCACCACCAGATACATCCACAACTGCGTGTCCTTTCGGCTTTGACCCAGTCGCTTCATTATTTCTGGCCCTTTGCTCTTCCCCAGTAGCACATTGGACACCTTCCGACCTGAGGGGCTCATCTTCCGGCATCATACCTTTTAGGCTTTTGGTACTGTCCATGGGGTTTTCATGGCAAAGATACTGAAGTGGGTTGCCATTTCCTTCTCCAGTGGATCACGTTTTGTTAGAGCTCTCTGCCATCTTGGGTGGCCCTGCGCAGCATAGCTTCATTGAGCTACACAAGCCCCTTTGCCACGACAAGGCAGTGATTCATGAAGGGGATCAGATGAATAATCAAGTGAAAGATAATTTACCAAGCATGAAAAATGTGAGCAAATTGTTTCTACAATCTTAATCCCTTGTTGGTACAACTGGCATAGTAATAGGACATCCAGTATAGTGCACAGCCTGTTGTTTCCTATGTGTAGTTTCAATTAGGGATGTGTGAGGAATCCATCCAATGGAGGGAATGCATAGGATTCCCTGGGCTTGACTTCCCAGACTCTGGTCTGCTTTGCGGTGATCCAGAATCCAACTTCCTAGTGAGCATGCCCAGTGTTCATGGGGTACTTACCAGGAATCAAACCCCACATGTTGTGCAAGCAACATCTAGCTCCGGAAACAGCTGCTGCATGAATGCTGAAGAAAAGGCTACTAATCAGGTGCTTGCCAAGAAATCAGACCACCTGTGACTGCTCTGCAAGCAGCATCCCTCTTCAGCACTAGTTGTTGCAACTGTCACAGAAAAAGGTTGCTGATTGTGCAAAAGGCGGTCCATGAGTTTTCACAAATTTCCTCTCAGCTTGGCTCTTCAAATGCCTGGGCCAAGCACAGGAGCCCTCAAATGCTTAGAGGAATGGATTCCAATAGCATTTGTCCCAACCCTAGTTTCAACTACAAAACTAGCTACAAAACTAGCATGAGAGAATCTGTTCTTACAGAAAGGCTTTTGGACCAGTGTCTGATACAAAACCTGAAAGCTCTAAATCCCAGCTACGTATTCTCTTACAAAGGAAAAAGACACAAATACTTGCAAAGAACATATTCTAGATTTTATTCAAGCCTATCAATGCCATGGCTAAATTTTCCTTTTCCCATTTATTTTCCAAGGAGCTTGGTTCACCAAGCAGAACTGATTCTGTCAGTGGAGATCTCCCCGTTGGGGTATGGACAGTTGCTTCTTCCCTACAGAGACTTCGTTCCCTGGACACATTCAGAGGGTAACTTATAGCGATGAAGCACAGCAAAAGATAAAGATAACTGCCATTACAAACAGAATCTAAAGAAATACTAGCCAGGGAATTAAATGGCAATACAAAAACTACAGTGTGGCAGAATATTTCTTTGTTTTTTCTGGAGCTTCCCCCTTGTTCTGTGTAATGGCATATAATGCAACCCTGTTTATAAAGAAGCAAAAAATGTAGACCAGAAACAGAATGAAAGAAAGCGATCAGTTGACATAAAATTAGGGCTGGACAATTGGTTCTCCTTCAGCCAGTTGTGATCCCAGAAGTTCCTTTTCCAGACATTAAGTTACTGTAGGGTTTTTAAAAATTATTTCTATATAGCCTACACACACATACACACTGAGAGCTCACTGTGCTGTTTTGGAGGTTTGAAATGTTGCTTTATTTTTTGATTTGCAAATCCATATTTCTGTATACCTAGAAAGGTCCTGAATATGTAAAAAGTACTACATTAATTTTGACTCACCCTGTTTCTCAAGCTGATATTGTTTTATGGGGAATCAGTCATTTCTGACTTAAGACAATTGTATGAATGAATGTCCTTCAAAATGTCCTCTCCTTGACTGCTCTGCACTGTTTGTACAAGTTCAAGTCAGTGGCTTCCTTTGTGAAAGCAATTGCTGTTATAGTTTATCTTCCCCTTTATCTTCTGCTCTCAACTTTTCCTAGAATTATTGTCCTCTCCATACCCTTATTCTGATCTGCTGGAAATATGACAATGTTTCATCATTTTTACTTTGATTTGATCTAGGATCCATTTGTTCATCTTTCTGGCCATCCAGGGTGTTTGCAAAGCTCTGCTCTGGAACCATATTTTGAGCTTGCTGATTTTCTTCCTGTCAGCTTTCTTCGCTGTCCAGGTTTGGGGTAGGGGGTTCACCACCAACCCAAAACCTGTCCTGATTGGACAAGTGAGGGGAAAGGATCAGAGATTCAGGGCCAGGGCATTGGAGGTAGTTCAGGGGCTGGCGGGACTTCTATGAAGAGGATTCCAATACCAGGGAAAAAGGGAGGATGAGAGAGGATGGGGGACTTGAAGAAAAGGGTAAGTGGGAAAAAGATGAGATGCATGTATGCAAACACTAAGAGCAGGGGAAACCAGCAAGAAGAGCTCAAGGCTCTCAGGGGAATAGGAGGGTATGACCTGGTGGGTATCATGAAAACATGATGGGATGAACAACAGGGATGGAATGTAAACAGAGAGGGGTATGTCCTATTTAGAAAGGACAGGAAAGGAAAAAGGAGCCTAGGAAGGCCTCAGTAGTTATAGGCAGGCTATAAATATGTGTATACATACATACATAGGGGATGGGTATGTGGTGTTATGTCAGGGAAGCGATAGAGGTTGGCACAGATGGGGATCTGGTAGAGGTGGTCTGAGTAAAACTAAAGGGTCTTGAAGGTGGGGAGGGACCTGACAGTGGGGGTATGCTATTGTCCACCAAGTCAACTTGAGACCCTGGATGATGCCCTGACAGAACAGATTGGAAAGATATCTCAGGATAGGGACAAAGTAATTATGGGAGATTTCAGTCTCCCAGATATTAGCTGGGAGACTCACTTGGCAATGATGGCCTGGTCAGGTTGCTTCCTAGATGCTATATAGAGAGGGTTTTTCATGTAGAGGGTCCAGGAGGTGACGAAAGGGAGAATATCCTTGACTTGGTTTTGATTAACGGGGGAAGCTGATAGTTGAGGTGCATATTAGGGGAGCTCTGGATGTAAGTGATCACTCCATCCTTTGCTAGGAGATCAGGGGAATGGGGGTGAATGGCAGGTTGGGTAATAGAAACTGGGACTTTGTGAGGGACAACTTTGGTCAACTGAAGGCCAGACTGAGGAAAGTCTCCTGGGAGAGGGTAATGGAAGAAAAGAGAGTTCAGGAGGGGTGGATGGCACTAAAAGGAAGGTCTTGGAGGTCCAACCCTTGACTAACTGCTAGTTAGCAAAGCGGGGAGGTGAAGGAGAGCACTGCTGTGGACCCAAAGAGAGGTGGTAAGAGGGATTAGATGTAAGGAGAACCTCCATAGGAAATTGGCACTGGAGAAAGTAGAAAAAGGGTATACCGGGAGGAGGAGGCTGGTTGCAGAAGGATTCTTCACAAGGCTAAGGCAGATTATTTTTTTATTATTATTTATTTATTTATTAAAACATTTCTATGCCACCCCATTCGCCAAAGCCTCAGGGTGGCTCACAACATAAAATTAAAATACAAGAAATAACAATATAAAATAAGTCGCCCTGGCCAGATAAAATAAGCAAACAATATTAACAATTAAAATGACGCTTAAATAAAAAGGTCTTCGCCTGGCGCCGAAAAACAAATAACGATGGCGCCAGGCGGACCTCTCTGGGGAGCGCATTCCATAGATTGGTCGCCACCACAGAGAAAGCCCTCCTCCGAGTACCTACCCTCCTAATTTCTTTCACGGAGGGTTCCCGGAGAAGGGCCTCTCCTGCAGATCTCAAGGGGCGGGCGGGCGTATATGGATGTAAGCGCTCCTTCAGGTAACCAGGACCCAAGCCATTTAGGGCTTTATAGGTCATCACCAACACCTTGAATTAGCGGGTGAGACTTGCAAAGAATATCAAGAGCAGCGAAAAGGGCTTCTATCAACATGTAAATAGCAAGAGGAAACAGGTGGTGGGACCACTTAATAAGGAGGAAGGGGATTCAGAGACTGATGTGAGGGAATAGGCAGGGGTGCTAAATGACTATTTTGTCTCTGTGTTCTCCCCAAAGCAGGATGGGGGAGACCTACATGGGGGGGGAGGGCAGATGAGGCCAGGGATTTAGGGGCACAGATTAGAATCATCCCCCTAGAAGTTGAGGAGTTCCTCAGGACATTGGACATTACACAGTTGCTGGGCCCTGTCAGGTTACACCTGTGGTTACTTTGGGAGTTGGCGGGGCTACTCTTGCTCCCATTGGCCTCCATTTTTGAGGACTCATGGGGAACTGATGAGGTTTCAGAGGAGTGGAGGGTGGCATCACTTCTCCCAATTTTCAAAAAGGGTAGTAGAGAGGACATGGGGAAATACAGGCCAGTTAAACTTATGTCCATTCTGGGGAAGACAATAGAAAGGCTCATAATAGGGAGAGATCTACTAACCCTAGATAGGGAAGGGAGGTTGGCGCCCACACAACAGGTCCTGCCAAACAAACCTTGTGGAATCCTCTGACAAGGTTTCAAGGTGGCTAGATGGAGAAGAAATGGTGGATGTGTTTTACCAGGATTTCACCAAGGCCTTTGACAAAGTCCCACATGATATCCTGGTTAAGAAATTGAGGACTTTGGGGATAGCCCAAATCACTGTCCGATGGATTACGGTATGGTTGACAGACCAAAAGCAGAGGGTAGCTATCAGTGGGGAATCATCAGGATGGCAGCTGGTGACAAGCAGAGTCCCCCAGAGCTCAGTTCTGGGGCTGATTCTTTTTATCAATGACCTGGAGGAGGGACTAACTAGTCTGCTGACCAAATTCACAGATGATACCAAAGTGGGGACAGTGGCCACAACTGAGCAGCAGGTACCCCAGATCCAAAAGGATCTGGACAGACTGAGGAAGTGGGCTGAGGACAATAGGATGGCATTCAACGCAGTTAAGTACAAGGTCTTGCACTTGGGACACATGAATAGGTGCCATAACTACAGGATGGGGAACACATGGCTGGCGAGCAGCACTTGTGAAAGGGACCGCGGGGTACTGGTTGACTGCAGGCTAAGCATGAGTCAGCAGTGTGATGTGGTGGTTAAGAGGGCAAACTCCACCCTTGGTTGCACAGCCAGAAGTGTGGCTTCTAGATCAAGAGAGGCATTACTGCCACTCTATACGACTCTGGTGTGCCCTCAACTGGAATACAGTGGTATCTCGGTTCACGAACGCCTCAGTTCACGACCAAATCGGGTCGCAAACAGAAATTTCATAAAAATTTTGCCGCAGGTCGTGAACTCTGTATCAGGTGGCGATCACGAGCGCACCAGCCTTCCCTGCATGGGTGCGATCGTGGTCGTGTTGGGGGGGGGGGTAGATGGCCGCGATTGCCCCTGTGCCCCCTGCCTGAGCATGCCTCTGCCCCCCCCCCCCCCCCCCATGCCCCCACCACCCCACCTGCCCCCCCCCCGCATGATCTCTGCCCCCCCACATGATCTTTGTTGTTTGTCACTTTGCTTCACATTTTTGTGAGTAAAAAAAAATAGTTGCAGAATGGATTAACCTTATTTACATTGAACCTTATGGGGAAATTTGATTTGGCTCATGACCAATTTGGGTCACAACCAGAGTCCTGGAACGGATTAAGTTCATGAGCCAAGGTACCACTGTATTTTGTTCAGTTCTGAGCTCTACATTACAGGAAGGATATAACCAGGTTGGAATCAGTGCAGTGTAGTGGCCAGATTGCAGAGGAAGCCATGTGAGGCAAGACTGAGGGAACTGGGTATTTTCAGCCTGGGGAAGAGGAGACTGAGGGGATCTGTTGGCAGCATATAGGTACATGAGGAAATGTCGCACAGAGGTGAGTAGAGACCTGTTTTTCCCTGTGGAGGAGGGCAGGACGCATTCCAGTAGAGCAAGGCAAAGCTCAGGGTACCCATAAATTACTTCTTGATAGTTAGGACTCCTAGCTAATGGAATGGACTTCTATGTGAAGTGGCTGAAGCCCCATCGGTGACGGTGTTCAAAGATAGGCTGGACATGCACATGGTACGTAGGCATGTCATGAGCAGAGCTGGCTGGAGCTTCTGACTTGCTCTGTTTTTATGTTTCTACATTTGTAATACAGATTTTCTGTACTTCCAATTCTGTAGTCTATGCAATTTGTATATTGACCATTTGGCAATGCCCATGTTTACACTTGTCTGATTGGCTGCCTTATGGCAGATAGCCAGTCCTATCAACTATTTGACAGAACAAGTCAGGATTCATACCTCTGAAATATCTGTCAAATGATAACATTTAACAAATTCAGTAGTGAAATAGGTACAGTGTGTTTTTGTATAGTCATGTGTTTGGTATATGATCTTGCATTACTTTTCACTTTTTCACTTACTTTTCACAGATTGGCACTTATAATTATGGTCTTTGTGAATTATGGTGGAGGAAAGTACTGGTTCTTCAAGCATCAGAGCTGGAATGGTAAAAAGCAGTTCATAATACTCATTACAAAATTGGGTAGAATAGCAAAAACCCTAGAAGACAGAATGATGATACAGGGCGATCTTTGATAAAATTGAACGCTGGGCTGAAAGCAACAGAATGAGATTCAGTAAGGACAAGTGCTAAGTCCTCCGCAGAGAAAAAAGAAACCAAATGCATTGATACAGGATAAGGAATACATGGCTCAGCAGAACTGAAAAAGACCTTGGAGTAATTGTGGACAACAGACTAAAAATGAGCCAACAATGTGATACAGCCGCTGAAAGGGCAAATACTATTTTGGGATGCATTAATAGAAGTATTACTTCCAAATCACAAGAAGTAGTAGTTCCACTATACTCAACACTAGTCAGACCTCATCTGAAATACTGTGTCCAGTTCTGGGCACCAAAATTTAAGAAAGATGTAGGAAAATTAGAAAGGGTCCAGAGGAGGGCAACAAAAATTATCCCAGGTTTGGAAACACTGCCCTATGAGGAGAGACTGAGAGAACTGGGCACGTTCAGCCTTGAGAATAGAAGACTGAGGGGGGACATGATATCCCCCTATAAGTACCTCAAAGGATGTCACAAAGGTCAAGATCTCTTCAGCTGATGCCAGACTGTAGAAAATGGAATAATCAAGTCAAATTGCAACAACCCAGGTTCAGGCTGGACATCAGGAAAATTTTCCTCACTGTCACAGCAATACAACAGTGGAACCAGTTGCCTGGAAAGGTGGTGGGCTTTCCCACCCTAGAAACATTCAAGGCAAAACTGGATAGCTATCTGAGCGGGGTTGGTGAAAATTGGTGTCTTGCAACAGCAGGGAGTTGGACTCAATGGCCTTATGGCCCCTTCTAGTCCTAATATTTTATGATTCCCTTCATAGCAATGTTTGCAGAAAGCCAATTATAGTAGAGCCATTTGTCCTTGGTCATGTTTGTGAGTTTCCCAAAGAGATGTCAGTGCAGGGAAGAGGATGCTTGGCTAGTTGGGACTTTGGCCTAATCCAGCTAGGCTGTTCTCCTGTTCTTATGACCAAAAGATGGGCATGGGATGCTTCCTGCAGTTAAACCTTCTTACAAATGCCTTCTGGTTCAGTATGTAAGATATTGTGAAACTCTCAGTTACACATACTTTAGTAAGTGTAGACATATACAGTACAGTTATTAAAGTTTGACTTAAACCTTTGGTTTCTACCTAGAAAATAATACTAATTGACCCATTGTTATCAAGATTAAACAATTTCTCTCATTTTCTTCCCAGGACTAACTGTAGCAGACCTCGTTTTTCCATGGTAATGCATCCTGAGCATTAATATAACTTCATAGAACTCAAGAAATTTGATTTTCACAAGGCCCATGGGCCTTTTTTTTACTGTATCATAATTGATTTCCTTTGGAAACCCTGCAGTTGTCTATTACTGTTGACAACTATTGACTGCTTCAATAGTTACTCTTTTTCAGGTTTTTTTTTACATTCTGTGAACTTAGAATAAAAACACAGAAACATAGGCATGAAACTCCAATCTTTGTATGTTAAAAACTGGTTTCAAAATGTATAAGGATGGTTTTTTGTATAGGTTTGCAAATCAGTTTCCAGTCCTAAAAGACTATGTGCTAAAAACACCTAAGTACTGTTTTTTAAACTTTACATGTTGTGCTTGTACTTAAAATATATACATCTCCAAACTGGAAGAGTATATCTGTGAAGAATTCAGTATGTACAGTATGTAAGTACTTAATGTACTTCCTTTCTTCTTTTTTTAAGTCAGATTGCCTGTTGCAAAATAAGGGAAGCTGCTAGGCACACAACTGAATCACTGTTCAATTTGCTGCTTACTTTGTCAAAATGTGGTGCATAGGCAAATGGAAGTGGACTCACTCTGTAGGAGGAAGAATCATGGCAAATCCACATTTGTCTGCCCATACTTGAAAGTTCTTAAAGGGGCACATTTTGCTTATGTATATTTTTCAGACCTGAAATGTTTGAAAACATCAAGTCTAAAAATAGAGGAATCAGCCAGAAAAAGCCATGAGTAAGTGCATGATGGTTGCAAATAGAAAAATTGTCATCTGGGCCTATGGTTCCATGAATGAGGCAGAAGGCTTGTCTGGAAGCACCTATATGGAGCATATGACTATCCAGTCCCAAAGTTTGAAAAGTTTCCTTCCCACTTAATGCAATCTGTCATTCAGTTAATTCTTGAAGACACACTCTTTTTTCTGCTGTAAGAGAAATAGGAATGCAACATGGCTGTACTGGTGGGACCTCCCTATTTTAGTAAATAGCAACGCCAGTGTGTGTTTACAAAAGCAAAACCACATAAATGTGAACTTATTAGGATATTAAAAGCTCCTTTATTTGGCAAAAGTGGGATTTTTTACTGGATTCGAGAGATTAGCAGTTAAAGGGAAGACCATTACCTTCATTCTCAGCCTATGATCTCCCATCTGACAGTTGCAGGAAACAGAATCATAGATTAGTTGGCTCTTGGTCTGCTCCAGAAAAACTCTTCATATGTCTAGATTCTTTCCTAGCCCTAACTAGATCTGTCTTGATCAGTGATTATTATTTTCCTTCCTATATAGGTTTGTGTTCATCATGGGCACCTCTATTTCACTGTCTCTGAATTCCATGTTGAGACGGGGATGTTCCAAGTGGCAACTGCTGGGGAAAGTCTTATGGAGAAGTCTCCTCTTGTTTTTAATAGGACTCATAGTTGTGAATCCAAATTATTGCCTTGGGCCTTGTAAGTGCTGAATTATTTATTTCTTTTCATGTTCACTATCTGTCACTTCCCTTGTATATAGATGCACCTGCATGAAATCCTGCTTTTTCAGCTCCATTCTAAAGAAGGGCTTTGCACTACAACTAGTACATATTTCTGCTGCTGCTTTTGTTCTTCCTCTACCATAGGTTGGGTGGAATAATATGGTCCCAGAAGCAACATAAAGGCAAACAGCTTCTCAAAAATCCATAGTTTAGCATTATTTCACACTTCTGCAATATTTCTGTTCTGGCTTCCTGAAAAGCAGTACTGAGGCCCTGGGGCCCTGTGATTCTTTAGCCGAGTAGCCATTCCAATCTAGCATTCCAGATTGGAAATGCCTAATTGAAGGAATTTATTTTCTTTAAATCCTATTTTTGTTACCCTAAGAGCTACAGAAATCACCCTTATTTGCTATATTTTTCCCATCCTAGCCAATTTTTAAGATGTCTCCACAGAGTGTGCCTTGAGACTCTCTGATTTAGGATTTACATTTTACAGTGGTACCTTGACTCATGAACTTAATCCATTCCAGGACTCTGGTTGCGACACAGATTGGTCATGAACCAAGTTAAATTTCCCCATAAGGTTCTATGTAAATAAGGTTAATCCATTCTGTAACTAATTTTTTTTATCCAAAAATTGTGAAGCAAAGGGACAAAGGACAACAAAGATCCGCAGTCATCTCCCGCCCCCCCCGCCCCCCGAGCACAAGTGTGGCCATCTCCCAGCCCCCTAGCATGACCACAATCATGCCAGTCATCCCTGCATGCGCCCGTCATCCCAGTGCACGGGGGGGGGGGGGACAGGTGTGAACACAAGCGCAGGGGGGGAGAGATGGCGTGAATGTGGGTGCAGGGGGAGGGAGAGACAGGTGCAATTGTGCTGGGGGGGTGAGATGATGGAGATCACGATTGCGCTCCTGCAGGAAAGATGGGAGCAATCACGGGTGCTTGTGCAGGAAAGACAGGCATGCTCTCGGCCATCTCCCCTCCTCTGCCCCCAGCACGATTGCGGCCACCACCCAATGTGGAGTTTGCAACCTGAGTCAATTCTTTAATGAAATTTTTGTTTGCGACCTGATTTGGTCGTGAACTGAGGCATTTGTGAGCTGAGGTACCACTGTATTTTATATCCTGCATGTTAGCTTTAGGAGTTAGAGTAACACTCACACACAAACCCCTTTGCCTTAGAAGAAGAGTGAAGGCACTGACAAACTCACTTATTCACCTGAAAACATAGAAATAAGTTAAGATACCTGCTTTAACTTCTATACCATGAAAACGGCACATGTATATTATTTATGCTAAGTCTCCATGCACCCACAATTTTCCTTTGTCTTTTAGATCTAATACTCATTTGTCTGTGAGATCCTACACTCAGGACTCTATGGGGCAGTGACCATTTCCTTTTTATATGCATGTACTGCTCCCTCCCCAGGCTCCTCTCACTGGTCCCATGCTCATTTTTCTGGGTTGTTGTGAATTGAAGTGGGAGTGAGTGAGCCTGCTGGCTTCTGTTGCCTGATCGTTCCCATTGTGAAAGTAGTAAATAACCCAGGGATACCCTGTTCCTAGGTTATTAAGAATGATATGCAAACCAAGATTTTGAGGTTGTGGGGACAGACAACCCAGAATAGTAACCCATGGATAAACCTTGAGTTACAACTCAAACTTGTTTCTTCTACAGTAGCCCAGGTATCCCAGCTCACATATCATGCTTAACAAGCTAGGAGTGGCAGTAATCTTCAGTGGAAGTGATCAGGCAGCAAGAAACAGCACTCTTTTCTAAGAGACAGTTGAAGGGAAGTTCCACATCAGCTGATTGCTCATTAACTGAAGGGGAATGGCCTAATCAGCTAGCAGCAGTTGTGTGGGTGGGGTGATTCGTTCTGGTTCCTGACTCCTAGCAGAGCTTCCTCACTGTCCAAGCAATACAACGTGGAACCAGCTGTGTAGAGAGGTGATGGACTCTTCCCACACTAGGTACATTAAAAAAAAAACTGGACATCTGAGTGGGATGGTGTACCTTGGTGTCCTGCAACAGCAGGGGGTTGGACTCGATGGCCTTCATGGCCCCTTCCTACTGCGATTCTTGCTTTATTCACAACAGTGAGTCCTGGAGCACTGCAAGTAGATACCCCATGCCTCATTTCAAACTGACAGAATAATAGTCTTGATTGTATTAATAAAATTTGAGGCTTTATCATGACCAAATGCTGAAAAACTCTGCTTAACTATACAGCTCCCTTCACACCTGAGAAATCCTACTTTATGATAATTAGCAGAGTGGTAAAGGAGCCAAACAAAACTCTTCCTTAAAACCAATGCCTTTTGCACAGTGCCCTATGTCTAAGCCGAACAGGTGGGGCAGCTTGGATGCATAAATAATATGACATAACATGGAATTAATGATTGCAGAGATTGCTGTAGGATTAGAGTCAATCCTACTTAGTTCTGTAGTAAGTTCTCTCCATTTTCACTTGTATTCAGACAAATAAGTGTCCTTGCCTTTTGCAGAAAATTCTTTGTGACTGTTGTGTTGAAAAAGCACAGAAAGATATTGTGATGATTGGTGGGCAGTTTTCAAAATATATTAAAACATTATTTAATATATACAATGAAAACATCTTAAAGCTCTTGGTAGCATCATACCCAGACTTGCACCTTTTACTTTTCAACATTGCTTTTTATTTTTTAATCTCCTGCAGTGTCCTGGGATAACCTGCGAATTCCAGGTGTGCTTCAGAGACTGAGCTGTACATATCTTGTAGTTGCTGTGCTTGAGCTCCTCTTTGCTAGACCTGTGCCTGAGAACAGTAGCCTGGTGAGTGAATGGCCCAACAGCTTAGTCTCAATGAAAAGAGTAGAACATTGCTTTTTTAGAGCTATTGTTGTCTATAGTTACAGGCAGTAGCTTATTTGCGGTCTTTAGACAAACTGAGTTTTACACTGGTTCAACTTGTAACCTAAAAAAGCTAAAAAGTAGATCCCAGAAAGACAACGCATGCTGTCTATAGAAGTTCTTATTATGCATGCCCGTTAGATAGTGTCCATGAGAAGTAACATACTTACCCTTGCTCATTCCACTACTTAGAGGTTTCCAGACTGTTTTAAAGAGGGTTTTTAAGTACAGTGGTACCTTGGCTCACAAACACTTCAGTTCACAACCAAATCGGGTTGCGAACAAAATTTTCTGAAACATTTTGCCTCAGGTTGCGAACTCCACATCGGGTGACAATTGCAGGCGCACTGGGGGGGAGATGGGAGACCCCCCAGCACCCCCATGATCATGCCCGTCTTCCCTCCTCCCCAGCACACCCACTTCAAATGTTTGTGATGCAAAAAAATAGTTACAGAACAGAGTAACTTATTTACATTGAACCTTATGGGGAAATTTGACTTGGCTCATGACCAATTTGGGTCATGACCAGAGTCCTGGAATGGATTAAGTTCATGAGCCAAGGTACCACTGTATATGAAAAAGAAAATATTTACCCCTTTGTATTCTGAAAACATATTCAACCAATTTCTATTAAAAGGAATGTAAAGCAGTAATAAAGAAACAGTAGAAATTTCATAATAAAGAAGCACAAAACAGCAAGGTTTATTAAAATCCAAGAGAGTGTTGAAACAAATAGAATATAATCTAAAGAAAATGGCATGCAAAACATAAGAAGATCCATGTTGGATGAGTTCATCTGCCCAGTATACAGGTTCCAGGAAGATGAGCCAGAAGCCTTTAGTAAACCTACACACGTTTCTTTTCTAGCAAATGGTCCTTAGAAGTTCAGTGCCAAAACATACACCAAATGTACATTATCTCCTCAGCTTATGTTGTTATTAGTTTTGAAGTTGTGTCCGACCCATCGTGATCCCATGGACAACATTTCTCCAGGCTTTCCTCTCCCAGAGTCCACTTAAGCTCATGCCAACTGCTTCAGTGACTCCATCTGTCCACTTCATTCTCTGCTCTCCCCTTCTTCTTTTGCCATCTATTGTTCCCAGCATTAGACTCTTCTCCAGTGAGTCTTTCCTTCTCATTAGGTGGCCAAAGTATTTGAGTTTCATCTTCACTATCTGGCCTTCTAAAGAGCAGTCAGGGTTGATCTCCTCTAGGACTGACCGGTTTGATCACCTTGCTGTCCAAGGTACTCACAGGAGTCTCCGCCAGCACCACAATTCAAAGGCCTCGGTCCTTTGGCACTCAGCCTTCCTTATGGTCCAGCTTTCACAGCCATACATTGCAACTGGGAAAACCATAGCCTTGACTATATGCACTTTTGTTGGCAGGGTGATGTCTCTGCTTTTTAGTATGCTGTCTAGATTTGCCATAGCTTTCCTCCCCAGGAGCAAGCGTCTTTTAATTTCTTGGCTGCAGTCCTAGGAAGCCTTTAATTAATGGGTCCTCTAACTACGGCCCGCAGGCCAGATCTGGCCCACCATGCCCATTTATCCGGCCTGCCATAGAGGTTTTGGGCATGCTGCACGTGCACGCATGGTGAGGTAAGGCGGGGGCTCGCTCGTGCAGAGATCGTTTTGGACTTGCTCAGAGAAAACAGTCCCCTTCCGAGCAAGCCAGCGCCTCACTGCACGTGTGTGTGTGTGTGTGTGTGTGTGTGTGTGTGGCGCCCTCCCCCCCACGCCACTTTCGCAGCCCACACCCATCGTCGGCAACTTTCAGCTGGCCCTCTATTTAAAAAGTTTGACCGCAGCTTTAATTTAGGCAATTTGATCTTTAGTTCCTCTGCCTCTTCGAAATCCTGCCTGTACTTCAGGTAGTTCTTGGTCCACATACTGCTGGAGCCTAGCTTGTAGGATTTTCAGCATAACTTTACTAGCATGTGAAATGAGTGCAATGGTGCAATAGTTAGAACATTCTTTGTCATTGGCCTTCTTTGGGATTGGAATGTAAACTGACCTTTTCCAATCCTGTGGCCACTGTTGAGTTTTCCAAATTTGCTGACATATCGAGCGTAGCAGTTTTACTGCATTGTCTTTTAGGATTTTGAATAGCTCAGCTGGAATACTGTCGCCTCCACTAGCTTCGTTGTTGCTCAGTCTTCCTAAGGCCCATTTGACTTCATATTCCAGGATGTCTGGCTTGAGGTCAGTGACCACCCCTTCGTGGTTATCAGGGACGTTAAGCTCTTTCTTGTATCGTTCTTCTGTGTAATCTTGCCACCTCTTCTTAATCTCTTCTGCCTCTGTTAGGTCCCTGCCAATTTTGTCGTTCATCATGCCCATCTTTGCATGAAACGTTCCCTTCATATCTCCAATTTTCTTGAAGAGATCTCTGGTCCTCCCTATTCTATTGTTTTCTTCTGTTTCTTTGCATTGTTCATTTAAGAAGGCATTCTTATCTCTTCCAGCTATTCTCTGGAATTCTGCATTCAGTTGGGTGTATCTTTTGTTTTCTCCCTTGCCTTTCGCATCCCTTCTTTCCTCAGCTATTTGTAAAGCTTCCTCAGACAGCCATTTTGCTTTCTTGCATTTCTTTTTCTTTGGGATGGTTTTAGTTGCTACCTCTTGTACAGTGTTGCAAACTTGCGTCCATAGTTCTTCTGGCACTCTGTCTATCAGATCTTATTACTTAAATCTATTTGAAACATCCACTGTATATTTGTAAGGAATATGATTTAGGTCATACCAGAGTGGCCTAGTACTTTTCCCTACTTTCTTCTATTTAAGCCTAAATTTTGCAACAAGGAGCTCATGATCTGAGCCACGGTCAGCTCCTAGTCTTGTTTTTATCGACTGGATAGAGCTTCTCCATCTTTGGCTGCAGAGCACATAGTCAATCTGATTTCTGTGTTGACCGTCAGCTTATGAGGTGGTCTTAGATTTGGTATTGAGGTCACCCTCATGTTTATTGACCTAGGGATTATCTACCTTTATGATTAAGCTGCCTCTTTGGTGGTTCTGGGCTTTATGGTTCCTCTGGAATATAGATATGACTTGAGCAGTAGGCATGGTTGTCGAGCATCTTCTTCCACCTCTGAGAGCCTTGCTCCTTTGTTTCCCTGTGTGCTATGCATAATGTAGAGGAATAGTAGGTGACAAGAACACAAGTGGCATAAATCTTGATGTGATTCTAATTGAACAGATGACCTTGTTATTGATTTTACTTTGTGATAGGAGACCTGGCAAAAAAGTGATACTACACCATTGTTGCATCTTCACAGTACCATCTGACAGAGCTTTATTTGACTGCTTCAGGGCATTCTTTGGCCTGACCAACAGGGTAACATCAAATAAACTTTGGAAGTCCACTTGTATTTCAAGGATAAAGTCACTCATATTTAACGCTGGAAGACCTTCGTTGCCCAGGCAGCTTCTGAGGGGAAGAGCTGGTTCTTATATAGCTCCTCCCCAGAGTTCCCCCAGGTGGGACTAATGAGAGCCTTGGCCACTGCAGTGGACTGGTATCAGAATCCTCCAATCCAGAATCCTTCAGCAGAGGGATCCCTGAAGCTGCCTTGGGTCTTGACAGTACCCCCACCCCCACAAAAGTTTAGGGGAGTCCCTTCCGCTTTTTAGGGCTGGGGCTTGCTCAAGCAGCCTTCGATCAACTTAAGCCTGTGTTTGTCTCAGTCCCAACTCACCCCAATGCAGACTTGCCCTTCGTAGTAGAGGTGGATGCCTTGTAACATCTGCATGAATCTGCTGTCATCAAGTACTTAGGAGCTGGATATCACTTATATGCAGATGACATTCAACTGTCTCATTCTGACGTGGGTAGTGGAAATGAATTGGGTGAGGGTCAGCAAATTGAGGTTAATCCTAGTAAAATGGAAGTGCTGTTGGTAGGTAGTTCATCTGACCAGAGAGGCAGTGTTTTAATATGTTCTGGATGGAGTTTCACTGTTGCTCATTGAAGAAGCTAGTTTGGATTTACTTATTGTTGCAGCTTTGTCACCGAAGGTCCAAGTGACATCAGTACACAGAGAGCCTTTTGCCAGTTGAGGCTGGTTCTCCAGGACCGAAGTAGCCTTTCTTTGATAACTTCTAGTATAGAGTGCTGCAGTATGTTGTACTTCATGGAAGCTTCAGTTAATTCAAAATAGAGCTGCTTGGTTAGCTGGGACCAGAGCTTCTCTGGCTTACAGTCCCTTGTTAAATACAATTCAAAGTGCTGGCATTTATCTTGAAAACCCTACATGGCTTGGGGCCCCTGTTATGTGAAAGACCATCTTTTCCCAGTCCAAGTATTAAGAAGAGTTAGAGGAGATAGTGACTGAAGTGGGGGTTGTTTGGCGGTGGTGCTGGTGTAAAATTATCTCCATGGCAAGGCTCACTGAGCACCCACACCAGGTGTCAGGCAAAGGGTTTCTTGTTTTTTTTGAAGTCCTTTTGCATTATAGGTTTTGTTTTATTGAACCTGGCTGCTTTAACATTTAATGCTGCTAATTGCTATTTCATTTGTTTTCTTCTTAAATGTTTTTATTGCTCTCTTATGAACTGCCTGATATTTTCCAAATTAAAGGATAGTATGTCAGTCGTTCAGGCAAAATAAAAAACTTGAACAGTTATTGAAATACTAATCTGGATCACAGCTAAGCACCATAGAAAGAAATCAGTTGAAATTATGAATACCTTTCCAAACTCCACTTCACCCCCAGCCTAGAAAAATATCACTGAAGAGAAAGAAAGAAAGAAAGAAAGAAAGAAAGAAAGAAAGAAAGAAAGAAAGCCATGTTCCTCAATGGCTGAACTTTTGTGTTTAAAATCTTATTTTGAAATTCTTTGGTGAATGAATAGCTTCTTGATTTTCTGAAGGAACTATGCATTCATTTATGTTAAATACATGCTTTTAGAATTGGTCTTACTTGAACCTCTGACTATCAAAGTTACAGATTTGTTCATGTTTTCTTGTTCATAGCTCAACCTGCTAAAATTGGAAATAAGAAAGAGACTGTGTAATAACATGAAAAACTGTTGAAAAATATTTAATGAAGCACTGAAACCACTTCAACAGGCCATCAATATGCAACCCTTAAAAGGAGGAGAAACAGGGATATTTAACAAGTGAATACCTTTATAAGTATGGATATTTCCAGTTAGATCAACTGTAGTGCAGGTGGTTTCCTCAGTAAGCACTTCATCCCTTGGTTTTCTCAAGATTTACTTTTCCTTCTATGCCTCAACAGGAAGCTCCATGCCCTTATCTCCAAGATATTCTGCTTTATTGGCCCCAGTGGCTTTTCATGCTGGTGCTTGAAGTGGTTTGGCTGTATATCACCTTCCTGTTAAATATACCTGGTTGTCCAAGGTCAGTTGAAATTTAGATCCTTTTTCATTTGATGTGTTTTTCCCTGAGTGTTTTTTCCCAGATATCCATAGAGCTGGTTCCGGTGGCTTCCTCCATAAGAACTCAAGGCCATCCACAACATTTTGCTGCTTCAGGCTGAAAATCTAAACCTACTTCCTACTAATTAACAGAGGGACACAATTTGCTAGGAAATTCACATGTAGATGCATAACTGCTTTTGATGAGAAGCATAGATGAGTACTACCATCACTGAGAATCTGTCTCCCATTTTGTCATGCCTCATGGTGCCCTAAATTAACTACTGGGAACTGAAACTCTCATGGCTTCCTCTAGCAATACCTTTGTGTGGAAAAGCTGTAGTTTGGTGGGTAATATCAGTTTCAGGATTTGGGCATCCTTGGGGAAAAGCACCCCAGCATATACTTCAGAGTTCTGTTATGCTCCACAGACCATTTTAGGGGCTTCATGCAAAGGAAGAATGGCAGCAGAGTTGAGGCCCTGGACTCTGCCAGTTATGGAGCACAGGCAAATGCCTTGCCACCCTCTGAAGTAGCTGGAGGATGCTGGGAGTTGTAATCCAACACAGGTTAGGGAAGGCTGCTGTGGAGATACCCTGATAACCTACCAACTTGAAATATTGCTTTCTAACTATACTAGGATCCTAAGGCACTGTCTGGTTCTCTGGGCAATTTCCCTGAATCATTCAGTTCAAATCTTCTCCAATCATGTGGCTCACTTCCTTTTTCCATTGTAGAGGTTACCTTGGCCCTGGTGGTATTGGCAATTTTGGAAAGTATCCCAACTGCACAGGAGGTGCAGCAGCCTATATTGACCATTTGCTTCTAGGAGAGAAACACATCTACCAACATCCAACTTCTAATGTAAGTGGTTTAAATTTTTAACATATTTATTTGCCATCTGTGAAATGAATACGTCAGTGCTCTGTTTAAATTCTTTACCACAGATGACTGGTTATTCCTAAGAATAATGCTGAAAGGCGAAATGTGTCATGTATATTTGCAGTTCCTCCATCAAAGTTGTTTCTTACTTTTCCATGGTTGAGCATGGGAAAGCAACTAGCAGTTCCTCAACACTGTATTATTTAGATTTCAAATAGTACGATATTATTTTTAGTGGGAGAAAATTGGACAGAAACACACATACAACATGGCAGCAGCTGGGCTTTAAAAAAGGCTTCTCTTGCAGCTCTGTCCAAAATACAGATTTATATTCTGTAAATTGTTCTGAAAGGTAACAAAATCAAGATTCTGTAGTTATAAAGTTGCTGTATAATTGCACATTCCAAGTTTAGTTGAGTTTCACCTGATAGAGATCATGCTTATTGTGCTAGTTATTGGCCTATTTCCTTGATTAGTGTCAACGGTATAATATTATACCTCAGACTACAACAAGCTGTTAAATGTTAGTCTAATTAGATCAGGTATGATTCATTAAAGACAGACAGGGTGTTGATAATCAATCAATCCTATATTCAGTCATTGACCAACAAATAAAATGCAAAATTACAATAAGTTAATATAAGGAAATACAGTAATTCTAAAATTAAATTAAGATAAAGAAAAATACAATTATTCTAATAAAAACCTAACAACATTTAGAGTTGATTCTACAGTGGACTGTACTGACTATTGAACAGTACTTGGCTGTGGTCAAAGAGATAAAATCAGATTGATCAGATAAAAGCATCTTAAGATAAAAAGGATCAGAATGACCAGGATATTTAGAAAAGAGTGGGAATAACAATTCCTGGTGAGTACCTGCATAGAGAGGGCAATAAAGAATAACATGTTCCAGCGATTCAATTATTTCTCCCCCACATGGACGCAGTCTCTGTTCGAAGAGGATTTTTTTTAATATCTTCCCTTGCTGACAGCTGTTGGGAGGGCATTGAATCAAACTAAAGATAAAGTCCTTCTGAATTTTGGGATTGTTATGTGACTGAGATATCTGGCTGATTGGAGGAGATGTGCAGAATGGTTCAGGAATGTGTTTCTGGATAGAACTGGATAATCCGCGTCTAGCTCTAAATCAATGGCCTGCTGTTTGAGTTCTGCTAACACTCATTCATAGTCATCGAGGTTAATGCTGTTCAAGCATAACCATGTAATTGCAATTTGCTCTAAATTGCTTGGCTCCAGGAGCTCTGAAAGATATCAGTCACGATTAGAGGGACCAGGCCAACTGGAAAGAAGAGCTTGAACAAGTAAGAAAAGATGTAAATTCAGGCTGAAGTTTCAATTTTAAGAAGGCCAGCTTCTTGTCAAAGGACCGTATTCAAAATGCAGTGAGGTGCTTGACAGATGATTCTCAAGAACTTGGCCTGAACTCTTTCCAAAGGAAGAAAAGACCTGTAGGGTCCCAACTGGGCTCCAAACAGGAGCTGGGCTTGGATCTTAGCTGAGAAGATTTTAATTTCTGTGGGTATATGATGTGCTCCTTTGGAGAAATAAAAAGTTTGTAAAGCCAACACCTTTGTGTGTGTGTGCTTAAAATAACGTAGTTGGCATGTGATTTACAGTTACCCATAGCATGGAAGACAATTCCCAGGTGTTTGAAGGATTTAACTTGCCCTATTAGATAGTTATTTAATCGCCAAACATCCATCTAGGATGCTTGGCAAAAACCACAACTTTGATTTTAGAGTAGTTAATTTCCAAACTTTCTTCTTGGCAATGCTCAGCTAGTGCATGGAGTGCCCTTTTCAGGCCAATCTGTATTTGAGAAAGCAGCACAGCTTCATCTGTATACAAAAGAACAGAGATGTATCTACAGTATTTCCCAATTTTGGTGGATGAAGGGAAGGGCTGTTCAGCTTATCGATAAGAGAATTGATGTATATACATTATTAAAAAACAGAAGAGCTAGTATACATCCTTGTCTCACTCCCCTCTTTAACTGGGATTTCTTTAGTGCAGTGTCCTTGGGCGTTGCGTCACACCTTCATCCGAAAATTCTCATATAATTTGTATATGAACATGAGTAATCTTTTATTAATTGAAGAAGAATTCAGTTTCTCCCAGAATTTGGACCTGGAGATGAGGTCAAAAGCACATCTAAGGTCAGTGAATGCTGTATGGAGTGATGAGCGTGCTCCAGAAGAGTATTTCTCAACCAGATATTGAAGAGTCCAATGCTCAGGAATCTTAGAATGTTTGTTGATATCAATAAATAAGGAAGCCAGAACAGGTACCCACCAATCTAAATTGTTTTGAATAACCTCCACTGAAATGGAAACATATCCAGGAGCTTTGTTTGGTTTCAGATACAGTGGTACCTTGGCTCACGAACTTAATCTATTCCAGGACTCTGGTCATGGCCCAAAATGGTCATGAGCCAAGTTAAATTTCCCCATAAGGTTCAATGTAAATAAGGTTAATTCGCTCTGTAACCATTTTTAAAATCAGAAAAATGTGAAGCAAAGTGACAGCAACAAAGATCATGGCCATCTCCCCCCCCCACCCCAAGCACAACTCAGATTGCACCCGTCATCCCTGCAGGCGCCAGTCATCCCGGCACACTGGGGGGTGGCGGGGAGAGACGGGCATGATCGTGGGTGCACTGGGGGAGGGAGAGATGGGCGTAAATGGTGCACTGGGGATGGGGAGATGGCCTCGATCGCAGTTCCGTTCGTGCAGGGAACATGTGACCGGAGGAGCGCGGCTGCACTAAAGACGGGTGCAGCAAAGCAGAGCCGTGGGGGAGATTGCCGAGAATCTGCGGATTGCAGCTGCTTTCGTGCAGGGAAGGCATCCGTGATCAGAGGCACGCAGTTGCACGTATGACAAGCAGATTCTTGCCAATCTCCCCCATGGCTCTGCTTTGCTGCACCCGTCTTTAGTGCAGCCACGTGCCTCTGATCACGGACGCCTTCCCTGCACAAATGGAACTGTGATCGTGGCCATCTCCCCACCGGGGGGAGGGTGGGGGCGGGGGAAGATGGCTGCGATCTTGGTCGCCACCCAAAATGATGTTCACGACCCAAGTAAATTTTTTTCAGTAATTTTTGTTCGTGACTCAATTTGTTCGTGAGCCAAGGCATTCATGAGCCAAGGTACCACTGTATTTGATCAGTTCTGTAATTTCAGAGCCTGACACAGGAGCTCAGAAGGGGAGCAGATGAACTTCATAGTCTAGTTCTCTCTTTGGGTAGGGCAGTTCCTCCTGTGTACACAGCAGTCTGAAATGGTCTTCCCAAACTGAAGGGGGAATAAAATATAGAATTTGTAGCTTAAGGGAAGAAGACTGAAGAGTTATGCATTTCCAAAATAGAGCTGAATTCTTAGAGCAAGTGGCAAAGATTAGTTGGTTCCAAGACTATCAAAGCCTGCCTCTTCTTTGCCTGTAATAACTGTTTATATTTCCACGAAAGTGGGAGCAGATCTTGAGTTGGGTAGGAGAGAGGATCCTTTTTATATTCCTTAAAACAGGAAATTGCTTGCTTTTTAGCCATATGGCAATTGCTGTCAAACCATGGTTGATTAAAGAAGCTCTGCTTCCTGTTGGTACCAGATGGACTGGTTCAAAGATTGACTGAAGAAGCTGAACTAGCTGAGTGTGAGATGGCAAAGTCTGATTGGTGCATCTGTCTTCCACAATAACTGCACAAAGTTGAAGTGCTTCATTGGAAGGGAGCATTTGGGTTAATTTGTTCTTCAGGCCTGTCCCTTTTTGTTCATATTTGTCCCCTGAGAATATCTTCAAATGGGATGGGACAAGTGTTCAGAAAGGAGGCATCAAAGGGCTTCCAAAGCAACACATTAGGACAGCAATCACTTTCAGGACAGTTGTCGATATGAAACTGTAGGACTGAAGAAGCTAAATTCCTTGAGATGGCCAAATAATCAATCAGGGAGGGCCTTGTACCTGCCCAATGTGAGAATTCTTCTGGGTGGTCTGTAATTGTAGCACCATTCAAAATGTGCAAATACAGCTTATAAAATGTCTGCAACATCTGTAAACCCCCAAAGTCTCTAGTGTGGTCTTAGGAGTCTCTAATTAGGAAAGGAGGGACAGTCTGCAAATTGGGAGGGATTTTAGAGAATTTGGCAAACAAATGATTATCATTTGGACCTAATCTGGCATTGAAGTCTCCTGCAGTGACAGTATGGGCAGTGGGAAAGCATAACTGGATGGCATTGATGTAGTTTTCTGCTTTTTCACAGATTTCCCTGATAACTGACCAAGGGATGTTGGGACGTATATAGAAATTAATAAACAATTTCTTTTTGGAGAAGTTGAGTATAACAGTTTGTGCAAGGTTCTCAAAAGGGTCTGTTGATATAGTCTCAAGTTTTAGAGTGGTTGAAATATGGATACTCAGCCCAGCACAATGACTCCTTCATCCACTACCAGGAACTGCTGAGAGGGATAGTGACTTGTAACCCTCACTAAAGAGATCGTGTACTGGCCATGTCTCTTGAAACATAACGTTGTTGAATTGGGAGATGCAGCTTATAAAGGCAGGGTCTCTGTTTCTAACTTCCCATCCAGCAATGTTTCAAGAGAGCAAAGATAATGATTCTAATGTAGAACATCCTTGTTTATTACTGGGAGAGGTCACTGGCAATGTATTAAGGTCTGTGGATGAGGGATGTGACTCATTCAGTAACTCAAGATGAAATGAGTTCCAACGTTCCTTCAGTATCTAGGAAGACACCCTGTTTATGGTTTGGCCTCTCTTTGCCAGTCTTGTTCTGCTGTATGGGAATGGTTAGTTTTTGTGATGGTTTGCATGTAACATGATGAACATTAGCAGATTGTTGTTTCATGTCGATACTATTTGTTGGAGGAATTGAGAGAATGGAAGGAATTGCTTCCATCCCAGGCAGTGATGTTCCTCCAGCCACGGAGGCTGCTGTTATCTTAATTCCATGTTGTTCCTGGGATGAAGGTTTGCCTATAAGTCTGGAATGTGCATCAGTTATTGGGTGTGTTGAGCAACAATTATCCATGTCATATTTCTGGTGCGACCTATTACCTGATTCAAGTTGCGGTTTCCAGGATTTTAGACAGCTGAGACCTTCCTCTTGTCTAACAGCAACATTCTGCTTTTTGGTCTTTGAAGTTTCTGGATGTTGTACTATTTCAGCAAGGAGCAGGGTGGAGGGATTTGGCTGTGCTCTAGAGGACCCCGTGTTGCTGGTCTGCATTTCTGGATTCCATAGGTATGAGAAGGGGGTTGCGTTACTAACATATCTTTTCTCAGAATGATGACAACTAGCTTGGGTAGTTTGGGCTTTTTGTTTGAACAGTCCTCTCTCAGAGGCAGAACTGATAAAGTGCCCTTGAGATAATTTAGAGCTGAATGGTCACATTTATTCCTTAAAGTCATAGTACTCTTGAGGCTGGAATGACCCAAAAGTGAACTAAGTTCCTTTGAGCTGAACACATGTATAAAAAAAAAAGGTGGAGAAAAGGCCTCGGTTTAAACATACTGGAAATTATGGACTGACTAAACATAAGTAAAATTCGTTCCCAGCCTCTGCTAGATGGGAGCCACTCAGCCTGCTGTAAATCAATCTGCTGCTTTTTGCTGCATAATAGCTGACTTGTAGATGATAGAATTGCTCTTTCTGTTCTCCATTCTCCTCTGTTTATTATTTAGTATTTTAAGGTGATTTGTTTGGACTGTAAAAAGCGTTTACAGTTTAGGAGTCCCTCTCCCTTGATTGCATGTCCACTAGAGGTTTCTTTCTCACCCTTTCCCACAGGAATAATCAGCTCTCTCTCTCTGTTGCTTTCTCTTTTCCTTGAGGTAGAGGTAGAATTGTCCATGACACTCCTACTATCTGCTTTTGTGGCACATTTGGTCCAAGAGATTAATACTTTTTCAGGGATGTCATGTGGTTGATTTTCAATATGCTTTAAAAATCCACTTTGGTTTTAACTGTGGATAACAAGTCAAAAATAGAGAGAACAGTTTGCACTGTCAGCAGGCTTTGGTTAGAAAGTTAGTTACATTTTCATTCTTTAAGGTTGTCAAGTTGGTATTTACACTCTCAACCTGTGTTAACTGTATGGCTGCAGAACACATTGCAGCTGTGTGTGTAAAAAAATGTTTACACTAAGAAATTTTGGTTTTCCTGCAGAATTTCCAAAAGGGTTACAATTTTAGAAAGCAGTAAGAATCAGGACCAGTGGTCTTTTTTTTATCTTTTTAACTTGGTACCAGACTGGGGTGTGCTCTTTCTCCATTGATATTTGATCTATGCTTGTACAGATTTATACAAAATGTACAGATTCATGCATAATTTTCTAGACTGTAACATTCTAGACTGTAACATTCTTTATGTTGATATTGTTTATTTTAGAACTCCTATTATCCCTTGCAGCTCTGATTTCAGTTTCTTGTCTAGCTATTTCATTAACTGGTCAGCATCGGAATGCATGTCATTTGGAGATATTATACCCAACAATGTGCTAGCTAACTAACAATAGTGTGCTTCATACCCTGGCCAGATGTTATTACTTATCTGAGAATGATTAAACTAAATTTAAGTAAGCTGATTAAGTCTCAGTGTCATTGATAGATGACATCTTTAAAGTTATACCTATGGGGTAGTATAAATACCCTTAAAATGAATGTAATACCTTAAATTGTCTATGTTTTTATGTGCCATTTATGTCTGATATTTTCAAAAACTTAATACTTTGTTTCATAGATACCTATAGGGTCCCATTCCACATGAATATACTTGAAAATGATACAACTTGATGACACAAGAGTGTGGATTTGGCTTCCCCAATCTCTCTTTATAATATTTGTATCTATTTGTTGACCTATATTATATTTGGATCTTTTCTGCTCTGATTAGACTTTTCTCTTGAGTTGTTTTTGAGATCTTTATCCTTAGATCCTCTCACTGAACAGCATACACTGGGTTTTCCAAATACCAAAACATCTGTGGTTCCTCCAAAAGTTACAGCAGGAAGAATTTCACATTCATGCCTAAAAGAAATCCATTTAAAAACCAACATCCCTACACTGTTTGTGTCAATTGCAGTTTGATATATTTTCACATACAATATTAGATAGGAAACTCTGGACCTGAAGATTGTCTGATGGACTTGGATGGACTGGCCAATTTGGACATTGGCTCCATTCTCTGCTTTACATGCTGAATATGATTCATCACCTATGGCTGAATGGCTGTATATGTATTCAAAACATCTGGTAGAAGCTAGGTTTGGCACTGTGGCTTTCACAGCTTCAGAGCCCCCTTTGTTTATTAGAAGTATTTATTGAGGCCGAACAGCTATTCAGTCCATGTGTATAAATAATGTATAAATAGTCATGTATATCATGAATTGGAGCATCTTTTGCACGATCAATGGAGTGCTTCATTGGCAGCTTTTTCAGGAAAAGTAACGGATCTTAGGTTAATTCAGCAAAACTTGATGTTTCATATAGATTGGGCACACCACATCTTTTCAATAAGTTAAATTAGCAGTACAGCTAAGACTTCTCTTACTCATATGTTTTGACAGTGCCCAGTGGTTGCTTCCTTTTGGGAGAGAGTAATAATCTGTATAAACATTGTGATGGAAAGCTAATATTTATTGGTATTTGGTTTGACTATCTGCCTGCCTCTTGGAACTTAGTGCAAGGGCAACTAAAATAGATTTTCTGTACCCTTTTGACTGCTAAAAGAATAATATTACAGTACTGGAAGCATAAACCACCACCTACAATAATAACAGTGGGCCTGAAGAACCTTTTGATTTTTGAACAGGTGTTTTTAGGGCAAAATGTAAGAATGGACAACTATCTGGCTATTTGAGCTTACCTTTGTTGATGTCTGTAACAGTCTTCTATACTAGTATTTTAAAATATATAGGGGTTCCTAATAAATATGAATTAGAGATTTTTTTTTTAAATCTCATGTAAGAAAAATGTAATATGTTATTTTATTCTGTCCCTTTGTTTGGGTTTGGTTTTGATTTAGAATTTCACAATTATTATCTTAAAGAGAGTCAAGCGCTAGTGAAATGCATCACATGGGAAGTGTTAAAGCAGAAGTAGAGACAGCTTTGGTAGATTTTCATATTATGCACTTCTTAATTTATAGGTATTGTACCTAACTACAGTGGCCTTTGATCCTGAAGGAATTTTGGGAACAATCAATTCTGTCATCATGGCATTTTTGGGACTCCAGGTACCACATCCTTTTGTCCCACTTACTTATTTGATTTGTACCCCTCCTTTCTATCAAAAAATGGCATCTTGGGCACTAAGGCTTTATGATATGAGACTGCAAAAGGCAGAAGAGCTCTTCAGAATGCCTTGTTCATGTGGAGAGGAACCTCCTTCTCTAGAGGTAGCAGGCCACTCCTAGGAACTTGCAGCATGTATGAATGGCTATTTCAAAATAATGCTAATACATCTAACCTTGATTCAACATTATACGAAAAAGCAAATATGAGGAACATTTTCCTTAAAAAATCAAAAGAGATTTACATGAAGATAGCTATTGGAAAAATAGCCGAACCACTTAGAACTATATGTAACTTTGGTATTTGTGCTTCATCATTACCATAAACTAGTTCCCCATTTCAATCAATTAATCCTCTTTATGAAACCCATTCTTAGCTGGAATGCTCTTGCTGCTTTCTAACGTGCCACTTTTTTTTAACTTTCAAGGGAGGAAAAATTTTCCTGTTTTACAAAGACCAGCACAGGCAAATAATGCTCCGTTTTTGTGTGTGGAGTGTGGTAATGGTAAGTGAGTCACAAACATTAGCTTGATTCAAGATGTTCTCTCTGTTATCTTTTTCTACTTGAGGTGGACCATTTTGGTTGGCAAAAGGCAGAAAGTCTCTTTAGAACTGTTTGTGTAGTGAAGAACCCCCTTCTCTAGACACAACAGACAAAAGCTTATGCATGACAACAGAGAGAGTAGCTCTAACAGTGCCCAATAATACTCTTCCAAAAAAATATAAGAAAAAAGCTGGAGTCTCCATCTATACAAGCCTATCCAGACCTTAAGATCTTCATCAGAGGTCCTGCTTCAGGAGCCACCTTTAAAGGATGCTATGAAGGCCTCTATCCAATGTAGGACCTTTTCAGTTTTGGTGCCTCATCTGTGAAATTGGCTCCCCAGAGATGTGTGCCAGGGTCTTCTTTGTACACATTTCAGCACCAGGCAAACACTTTTATTCTTAAGAGTATTTTAATGGTCGACAGTTTTAATCCTAATTTAAATTTAAGTTGTTAGCTTAATTGATGAATTGTAATATGTTATTGTTTAATATTAACATTTTAATATTTAGTATTAATATATTAATTGCTATTTGTAAGATGCTGTCCAGTCTCTTAGTGTATGATGTCAACTTGGTTAGTGCTTCTGTTGTTAGAACAAATGTTGTTATTGGTACTGATGTTTTATTATTGTTTTATTATTCAGTTTGTTACTATGTTGGTTTTTAAGTTTTGTTGATAGTTTTTAACTGTGTAAACTGTCTGGAGAGCCATGAGGCTATCAATAGTCTATAAAAATGAGGAAAAAGACAGCACATGGCCTTCAGTGTCTGTATAACTTCTAGAGTATGGCAAACAAACAGCATGAACTTGAACTGTTTATACAAGAGGAGGAATATAACCTAATAATGGATGAATTTCAGTTCTTGCGGCCTGATGATGTGGACAAGGTGCTTGGACGAGTACGTCCCACCACTTGCCTATTGGACCCTTGCCCATCTTGGCTAATTAACAACACCAAGCACGGGATTGGGACCTGGATCTTGGAAGTGGTTAACGCTTCTCTGAGGGACGGCCGGGTACCTGCCCCTTTAGAGGAGGTGGTAGTCCGACCGGTCCTGAAGAAGGTGTCACTGGATCCAGAGATGGCTACTACTTACAGATCAGTGGCCAACATCCCGTTTCTGGGCAAGGTGTTGGAGCGGGTGGTGGCGGGACAACTCCAAGCACTCTTGGATGAAACTGATTATCTGGGCCCATTTCAGTCTGGCTTCAGACCCGGGTATGGTACTGAATCTGCCTGGGTCGCCCTGTACGATGACCTGTGCAGGGAGAAGGACAGGGAGAGTGCGTCCCTGTTGGTTCTTCTGGACCTCTCAGCGGCTTTCGATACCATCAACCATGCTATCCTTCTGGATAGGCTAGTGCGATTGGGGGTCAGAGGCACTGCGTTGCAGTGGTTCCGCTCCTATCTCAACGGCCGATTCCAGAAGGTGGTGCTGGGGGGCTATGGCTCTGCACCATGGCAGTTATGCCATGGAGTACCACAGGGCTCCATTTTGTCCCCTTTGCTGTTTAACGTCTACATGAAACCGCTGGGAGAGGTCATCAGGAGGTGTGGGCTGCGGAATCATCAGTACGCTGATGATACCCAGCTCTACCTCTCATTCTCCACTAATCCAGGTGAGGCAGTGGCTGTGCTGAACCGGTGCCTGGTCGAGGTAATGGGCTGGATGAGGGCCAATAAACTGAAGCTCAATCCAGACAAGACGGAGGTCCTGTTGTTTGGCGGACTGGGCTTCGGGGAAGGTGAATTGAACCTAGTCCTGAATGGGGTTGCACTCCCTCTTAGGGACAAGGTCCGCAGCTTGGGAGTGCTCCTCAACCCAGAGCTTTCACTGGAAGCTCAGGTGACAGCGGTGGCAAGGAGCGCTTTCTTTCAGCTTCGGCTGATCCATCAGCTGCGTCCCTACCTGGAGAACGACTGCCTGGCGACAGTGACACACACGTTGGTGACTTCCTGACTTGACTTCTGTAACACGCTCTATGTGGGGCTGCCCTTGAAGACGGTCCGGATACTTCAATTGGTTCAAAATAGAGCTGCCAGGCTGCTGACGTGGACTGGGCGTTACGTTCACATGACTCCAGTTCTCCGTCAGCTTCACTGGCTTCCCATTGAAGTCCAGGCCCAATTCAGGGTGTTGGTGATGACCTATAAAGCTCTAAACGGCTTGGGTCCTGGTTACCTGAAGGAGCGCTTATGTCCATATATGCCCACCCGCCCCTTGAGATCAGCGGGAGAGGCCCTTCTCCGGGAACCCTCCGTGAAGGAAATTAGGAGGGTAAGTACTCGGAGGAGGGCTTTCTCTGCGGTGACGCCCAATCTATGGAATGCGCTCCCCAGGGAGGTCTGCCTGGCGCCGTCGTTATTTGTTTTTCGATGCCAGGCGAAGACCTTTTTATTCAAACGTTATTTTGTTAATATTATTTATTTATTTTATTCTTTGGCCAGGGCGACTTAATTTATATCGTTTTATAGGATTCTATTTATTTATGGTTGTGAGCCGCCCTGAGGGTTCGGTGAATGGGGCGGCATAGAAGCTCCCCTAATTAATTAATTAATTAATAATAGGTATAACTGAAACTTGGTGGGATGACTCCCATGACTGGAATTAAACAATTGAAGGGTATAGCCTGTTCAAGAAGAGAAGGAGGAACAGAAAGTAAGGATTAATATCCCTATTCAGAAATACAGGAGGATGAGCTTAGTAGCTGTATCAAGAGAATCTGGATTAATATAAGCTGAGTGGGGAATAGAAGGAACACAGTGGTTGGACTGTATCACTGACCACCCAGGAAAGAGAAGACAAGGATAAAACTTTTGAAAAGCAAATTACCCATATTTTCAAGGAGGCATGATGTCCTTGTTTTGGGGAACTTCAATTTCCCTGGTATCTGTTGGGAGATAAATTCTGCCAAACACATGCTTCCTACAAAAAATTCCTATATATGTTGCTGATAACTTCCTCCAACACAAAGTGGAGTAAGAAACAAGAGGAATGGCTATCCTTGACTTGATACCAACAGGGAAGACCTAGTAGACAAAGTGGAGGCTATGGGAACTTTGCAGGAAGGTGACCATGCCATACTTGAATTCTGTTTTATTTTTTTAAAAATTTTAAATTATTTTTTCTCTACTAATTTAAACTAAAACAATTATTCTCGAGACATCAGGCATACTGGGTTAGTATCTTATTCTTATTACAATTAATATATATTTCAGCTCTACATACAGTTCCATTTTTCTAACCAATGATAGAAAAGGTTCCAGGTTTGATAGAAGTATGTATCTTCCTTCTCCTTCAGAGACAAAGTCAGTCTGTCCATTTCCGCACAGCCCAGAATCTTTTTTAGAATCGGTTCTTCAGTCGGTGGTTCTTCATTCCTCCAATATTGAGCAAATACAATCCTTGCTACAGTAATCACATGTAAAATCAAATATCTACTTTGTTTGTCAAGATTGTCAGGGAGAATGCCTAATAAAAATACTTCAGGTTTAAATATTAGAGGTTTTAGCAGAATTTCCTCAACCCATCTATGTATTTTAACCCAGTATTCTTTGCCTTATCACAAGTCCACCACATATGATAAAAAGTACCAGGTTTTTGTTTACATTTCCAGCATCTATTTGACATATTTGGGAATATTTTGCTAATCTATTCGGCAACAAATACCATCTATAGAACGTTTTATAAAGATTTTCTTTTTATGAAGTTGCTAAAGTTATCATTTCTTTTCCACAGCTTTTGCCATTTCTGTAGCTCAATATTATATCCAAAATTTTGTGCCCAAGTTATCATAGTTTCCTAACTTGTTCATCTTCCATTTTCATGTCCAAAAGAACATTATATAATCTTTTAATCATTTTTTCATCAGATTTTAAAATTATTTGGTCAAACATTGTTTGTTACTTATAAAAACCATACATTCTATACTCTTTAGCATACCTTGTTTGTATTTGCACCTGATGCCACCAAGAAAGATCAATACCCTGTTCTTGTAGTTCTTGATTTGATTTCAGTTTTCCCTCATTGTCTAAGATATCATTATACCTCACAATCATATTAAAGTTCAGTGCATTTGGGTATACAAGGGCTTCCATGGAAGAAAGCCATCTCGGCATCTTAGTATAAAGTTTTATCTTTAGTTTTTCCCAGACCGACATCAGTGAATTCCTAATATAATACTTCAGAAAATAACCATGTGTCTTACATTTCTTTTACCACATAAAAGCATGCCACCCCATTTGCAAATCATGTCCTTCAAGGTATAAAATTCCTTTGTTTCTTAATGTTGTCCATTCTTTTAACCACATTAAAACACATGCTTGATAATACAGCAACCAGTGGGGAAGGCCAAAGCCCCAGTTCCCTTTAACCTCCTGGAGCATTTTTAACTTAATCCTTGATTTTTCTTTTGCCATATAAATCTCAAAATTTGTGTTTTTAAATCATCAAAAAACTTTTACTCAATTTTTATAAGAATTGTTTGGAATAAAAACAAAAGCTTAGGTAATATATTCATTTTAACTATAGCTATTCTTCCCAAAAGTGATAATTGTAAATTAGCCCATTTTTCTAAATCACTCTTAATCTCCTTAAACAATAGTTACCTTCTTTCAATGTAGCACATCTGGCTGTTAAGGAAATTCCCAGATATATAACCTTTTTAACTCTTTCAAGATCTACTTGTTCCATCAAAGTTGTTTTTCACTCCAGTGAGAGATTTTTGGCTAGTAGCTTAGTCTTTTCTCTATTTATTTGCATCCTGGTAAATTCACCATAGTCTTCTGTTTTCTAAAAAAGTTTAGGTGCCGTTACCAAAGGATTTTCTAAGATAAAACCTAGGTTGTCTGCAAATGCTTGGAGTTTGTAGCTTTCATCCCTGATTCTAGCACCTTTGATATTCGTATCTTCTCTAACGCTTCTATTTAAAACCTCTAAGATCATAATGAATAACAA